ATTTTGTATCAGGTCAACTAAACATGGGCATAGTAACAATATTTTTATACTACATTTATCCATTTTAAATACACTAACCTCACTCCTTTGTAACAAATAAGACAAAAATGTAATTAATTCAGAAAAATTTTTCAGGACCCCACCTTGATGTTTCGGGACCCCACTTTGGGTCCCGACCCCAACTTTGGGAAACACTATGAGGGGGGTCCCTGGAATTTTTTCGCCCTTGTAAGGGGTCCCCAGACCCAAAAGGTTTGAGAACCCCCGAGCTAAAGAATCACGTTCATATAATGATTCGGATTATTTATTAAAACTACTTCTGTTTCTGAACTTCCAGCCAGCAACGCCTTCGTCGTCAGCAGGATGTTTCCACGACTGGGGTCGTTCCGAGGTTCTARAGGAGCCAGTTCTGCACAAATGTTCATGAAAAACCAGCCTACAGAGACTGAACTGAATCAAGCAGTCAAACAGACACTTGTCATGACTGATGCTGATAAACAAGTGAAGAAACCATTGAAATACGGTAACCCCATCAATCACAAAACAAACACCACCATGCTTCCTTCTCCTTTTAATTCTTTTTTTTTCCAGAGCTTATTATTAGTTATTATGTTTTGTGGCAGGAGAAAGGCACATTTCTTGTGTGACGAACCTTAAGTTTTATTCCTTTTTTTTTGCCAACTCAGATGCTTTTGCCAAGCCAGAAACTTCGCACGAACATCTGATTGAGAAATACAGGAGCGGGGAAACGCATGCGGTATCTCTGCTCCATCAGCTTGCCCAGGTGTTTCAGTTCCACCTTGAACTTAAAGAAACTGTAGCCACAGGTAAAAACGCACGTTCTTTGAAAGTTTCCTGAGACTTATGATGTGTGTATTTATTAATATTAAGTTTTAATTGTGTTTGCAAGGAAAAGAGAAATAGAAAAGCAAATACAGATCCACTGATGTGCTCTGCTATTAAAATAATTGACAATTTTTTTGGACAAGACAATTAGCTGTTGGGTGGTTTAACCAAACGTAACCTGTGTAGTGAAATGCTAAAAACAGAAAGATCTGAGTCTGAAATTTATCTAAAGTTCTTGTGAATGAATTTTGATTTCATTAAAAACTTGTTTCTTCAGCTGCTGTTTCTGAAAGTTTTAACTGTTTTGYACAAACCTTGACTGATAAAGTATCTGCTGTCAGTTGTTGGGGATAAAATGACCCCCTTGTTTTTTTCCTCCCAGGAGATTTACCAGGGTCCCTTTTTGCCTTCTGTGTTGTGATCGATGGTCTTCAGTACAAAACTGGCACGGGRTTAACCAAGAAGGCGGCACGTCTAAATGCGGCGAAACTCGCTCTGGAGGAATTTTTGCCCAACTTGGAAACTCAGAAATCTGTTTTCCCAGAAGCATCAGGTTAGTGTCGTGTTTTTATTCAAATACTTTTCTGATTTTGTTCATAGTTTTAGAATGTTTTATGATTTCTAAAAGAAGTACACGCGTTTTCTTTTTCCTTCTTACAAAAAAAGACATAAAAACTAATTAGGTAAGTAAGTAAGTAGGCAAATACTTCAAATGCCTTCAACACAACTTTTATCAGCTGATTCTGTACTCTTGATTCTGATCAATAATGGGACAAAAACACCTTTAATAGTGAGAACAGATCAGAGGTAGTATTACTCTGTGACAAACTGATAAATCTGCTTATACATTAAACATTACATAGAAAATGATTTTTTTTAATCCCTTCAGTTGCTTGTTGGAGGTAACCAACTGAATAAAAAAATGGAAAGGAAGCAGAGTCCCCCTCTATACTTTAAAGATGATCTTGGAGACGTCGGTGACTGAATCCTACCAGCTGTCAGTTTGGGCCGTGGTTTCTGCTCACAGTGTTCATGAACCTCAGGTTGTGAACAGTCTTATTTAGGGCTGCAACTGACAGTTATTTTAATAATCGATTAATCTGTCGATTATTTTTTTCGATTAATCGGCCAAATTATTAAAATGCTTAATTACATAAAAATGAATAGATAAAAATTAATTTCATTCCTGTATAAATTAGGGATGCAAGTTATTGATT